AATCGCTTTTTATCGGTTTTGGCGGCTATCAGTTAACCCGTAGTTTCGAACATGTGTTGATTTGTTCGGCAACACATTTCGATTCTCGGGTCAATTGCTTACTAGCCGTGCATTCCCAACCGATATAACTCCCTCGCCTCGCATCCGATCGTCTGTCTGTTACAGTACTGTCACTCGTAAGCCCTATATCTCATTATTCGAAAGCCCTGTGTATTTGTCGACCACTATTACTACACTCCCCATGCCATTACTGTACGTTTTGGATGATATGATTGACAGCTGGACTAATAACAATGCGGTACACTTAGGTTGTGGCTCTCGCCCACTTGGTCTTCGTCATTCAACGATCCGCTGTGCACTGTTCGATCCGTATGCGGAAGGAGCACTGGTACTATTCACACCACCTGAAATTAGCGCACATGATGCACTCAAAATTGATGCTAGCAAAAAACAGGTAGTATAATATGAAGTCGTTTAATTTATGAAAAAGCCAGGAATTAGAGGAATCAAAAGTTGAGGGGAATTTTAAAAAACTGCAGGAAGAAGCAGAAAAAATTGGAAATTAGGGCCACAGGGGTCCTTTTTATCTGCAATTTCGCGTACGCGTTCCAGATATTGTTATACTGTCCGTGACAAGGAGAAAAGCAAATTGCTTGGTAAAAGCTGCAGGCTTGAAAAAAAAAAAGTCGCAAAAAACTGAGCTAAATGCTCATAGTTCTGGCCGAAGATACAAAAGACTGGTAAAAGGGGTAAAGATTTGGCCCGGTCCGGTCCGACCAGATAGTGGAATTTAGCGAGGATTTGGGTTTAACTGCATGCTATTCTGGTCGAAAAGTTAGACCTGATACAGCTGATACCTGATAAAGTTAGACCTGATACAGCTCGAGGAATGAAACTGAGAGAGGATTCCGATTGAAATTCGGTTGGATTTCGGGTCAAATTTTGTTCGAAAAGGAGCGAGGGATGCAAACTGAAATTAATCCAGCCACAGAAAAGGCACAAATATCAAATTCGAATGCAAAGATGCATTAAAAAAAACCTCTTATAAGGAGAAGGTGAGGTCAGGAAGGTAAAAATTATGCGCATGTGGAGGAAATTGGCGAAGAGGCAGCAAAATGTGAGTATTTGTCTGAAACTATTTGTGCTAATACGCTGTGAGCAGC